ACGAGGCTCGGCGCCTCCGGTTCTGCCCTGGTGCTGAGGCGAAAGCTGCCGTGCCCCAGCGGAGGTGTGCTGGTCTGGGTAGCGGCTGGGTTCGGTCCTCGCTCGCCCTGCTTCGCAGTCGGGCGTGTTACGGCCTGAGGTAACGTGTTGGACCGTGAGGTGGCTAACTAATGCGCGCGGCTCCGCTGGGTAGCCGAACCAAAGCGCAGGTTGGTTCTGTCTTGGCGGCAAAGTTGGCTTGCCAGCGCTAACCCTGACAGGAGTTCAGTTGCTTGTCCCCCTGGTAATCCTGCTGTTTGTTATTAGTTAGCTAAAACCCAAAGTGGGTCTGGTGATTTGGGGAGAATGAACGTCAGTGCAAATCCAGGTGTTTCCCTCCAGCTGGGTGCTTAAATCAATGCTACAGTACTGAGGCCGGAGCTCGCTGCAGGTGCCAACTTTCAAATGACAGACATCAAAGCTGCAAGCAGCTGTTGAACCCTACGGCCGTAGGTTGTTTCTTCTGTGCAGGACGAGAAGAAGGAGTTAGCTGTCCTGATTTAAATTGCAGTTTTGAATTTTCACATTTGACTAACTAATCCCGCTTGCAGTATCGATTAGAGTTCTTCATTTCCGGTCCTACAGTTGTTTATTCTACAGCACTTTGTGCTGCACTGGTTCAGCGTCTCTTCTCGTGGGAATCCCCTTGCAAAGTTCCCCTTCTGCCCCAGTCTCAGAGAATTATGCACTTCATCGTAAGACCGCATAGCTTTCACAAACTCCTTCTCATGCAAAACGCTGTTGTAAAGAATTAAGATCCAGTAACAGAGAAGGCAAATCACAGTCAGTTTTCATACCCCCTCACCACAAGAAACAAAGTTCTGGTAGTAGGGTATCCTGTTGCGCACTTTAGCGCTAATGTAACAGTAACAGAGCACGTGGATTTCTCACAGCGTGTCGGTTGCGTCTTTGCTGTTAGCTGTCACTTGTAACACAAGGCTGAGCAGAACCACTGCTGAACGTTAACTAACAGACAGATGCAAATCTTGTGCCTCACCACGGAGTAGACGGTACCATCTGTACAGCTGAGCGCTCTGTAATTCTCGGCATTTCACTAACTTTGCTGCGAAATTCAATCAAAACAAACCAACCCTGTAACCCTTATTTTTATGCTGGGAGCCTTCCAATAGTGAATAGTATAATGAGTATTTCCTCTGGGGCAAATAACCTGAAGGTGCTTCTGAAGGAAAAACCCTTTTAATATAATGAGGGTGTTAACTGAAGACAAAATATGGCCATTTAAAGGGCACTGCTGCTAATTATTCTATTGCCAAACTTTCAGAAGAAGCATTTTCCAGAGTTCATGCTCTCAGGTCATTTGTCCAGCGTCCCTTTGCCTTGCAGTGTGGAAACAGGTTTTTTGAACAAAATTCTACAATTCACTGAAAATAGAAAAATAAATTAATTTTAGGAAGCATTGCTGACAATGATTATTTCCTATTGGGTTAAATAAACCCCTCAAAATTCTCCATTTAATTTGGGTCTGCTGCAAAAATTCATTTTTCCATATCCATCCCACTGAATTTATTACAAATCTTCTGTTAAGAAAGCAAAATACTACGTGCAGATGATGTAGCTCGTCTGCTGCGCCTTCTGTTTCATTGCACTGTTATTGAAAATCATGTAATTGGGGCAGTACCTGCAGTGAACCTGAGAGTGATAAGTAGGGGCAAAGCTGGTGCTGGGCCCGGGTGGGAGGCGGAGGGGCTGGGGGACCTGCTGGGCGGCCAGCAATGTCCCCTGGGCTTTCGCAGAGGATTACCAAATGGAAGTGACATCACCCGCAGCCAATCGGGGGGCCCCGGGGGTACAGCTGGATTGAAGCCATATTCCACTTAAGTAACAAGACATGACATACCATGTGCTAATGCTAAATAATTTATCCCTCAGGCATATAGTGAATTGCAAAGCCAAGCTGAGGCTTGGTCAACAGTTTGTAGTTTAAATTAAAACTGGCTTTTCCATCTTAAAGGGAGGGAGGGGGTTGTCAATTGTTGTGGTCAAAAGTGGAATGCAGAAATCTGTTTTCTCCCTCCTCTTCCCTTCCCTTCCTTCTGTTATAATTTGATAGCTTTTTAGTGATTTTGGGGGTGTACTTCACATATCTCTATTAACATGCAGAAGAATCTTAGACCAAGTTGTAAGTCACTGTGGATAATAATCAATATATCCTTGAAACTTAGGCATTAGCACCTGCAATCTAAACTGAAGCTATTCCAAAATTTTGTCATATGTGTGTATTCCTGTTACAAATGTTATATGGGCGTTTCCATAGCAGAGTCATAAATATGTCTCATTAGGAACCCAGAGGCATTTGCTTGTGCTTAGGCTGAAGATCACACCCAGTCAGCCTCTCTACTGGGTACTTTGAGCTAGCAGTACGCAGAGGCTGGATATGGTATTAATCACAGCATTTCGTTGCCAGCTGTTGGCTACTGGAACTTGCAGCACAGACTTTCCAATTCAGTGGTCCAGCTAAGCTTGGCCAAACCTTTGACATATTTTGTTAAAATACAGTTCTGTTCTTACTTAAGAGCTGGTGCCACAGTGTGCTAAACAACACTTCCACTGAAACCATGAGAAGTTGACAGTAGCCAGCACCTTCCACAATCTATCCTTATGTAGTGCTTTACAAAAATGGTGGCTCAAATATTCTTTAATCTTCCAGTGTACTATTGATCAAGAAATGAACAGTTAAAATATACACTGTGTTGGTGGGAAGGAGGTAGGAATTGCCTTTGAGTTATTTTAGGATAAGAAATTAAAAGGACCTCTGGCCTATGGAAGAAGTAAGAATGTATTTACCTAGTCTCTGCTTGTTTGGCTAGTTAAAACCTAGAGAGCACGAAGTGGTACAGAGTTGAAAGGAGCGTGTGGAAAAAAATACAAAACAAATTGGTAGTGTCTCTGAAAGCTCTTCAGGGAATTCAGCTTTATTGCCACAATAGTACACTTTCCAGTACGCAATTACTCATTGTCAGGGAAAGGGATTTTGAAGATTTCTCTTATTTTGGATGCTGCAAACGTGCTTAATTTAAGTTAAGAGGTTGCATTTGATTTTTCCTTTCCATATTTGTTTACTTATCTAGGTTCTTGTATGATTGTCAGGCCAGTGTCCAAGTTCCCCATAGATAATAAAAAGAGAAAAAAAAGCTACCAAAAAAAAATGCAGCAGCAGCTAAAACATGTATATATTATTTATTTTTTTAAGTTATATAAGTTCATAGTGTGCATTCTGTGATAGGGAAAGCTCTTCTATTAATAATTTTCAACCTTGGCAAAAATGCATTTTTGTAATTGATCATTCTTTTTTTACTCAAACATTTGTACAATGAGTAACAAAGCCTTTGCATCTAAATCCAAGTAGGAACAGAATTTGGCAAATCTA